AGAAAGAAAGAAAGAAAGAAAGAAAGAAAGAAAGAAAGAAAGAAAGAAAGAAAGAAAGAAAGAAAGAAAGAAAGAAAGAAAGAAAGAAAGAAAGATGAATGGAAGGAGAGAAACAGAGAAAGAAAGAACCTTTCTCTGAGGGCAGTAATTTGTCATGTAGACTCTAATTTGGCTATACAGTCAGTTCCAGGCTTCAGGTGTACTGAACTGGAAATAATAGAACTGACAGCTATAGCATGAAATTTATGACATCCAAGATAATCAGCAGTACTTCCTATACTTTATTTACTCAACAAATATCTATACCTCCACAACTAACAGCTGGAAGCTACAACAATAGAAAGATTTTACAATAATTAGGCTCAGTCCAGTTTAAAAAATAAAAAGGATAATAATAATAATAATAGATTGTTGAATTTTGTTGATTTTTTTATAGAGAAATTAGCACAGTGGTTGCTATTGTACAGATTGGAGCAGGACTGCTCAGTATTTAAGGCCAATAGTATATGTACATATAATTGGGACATAATTAAAGATTAAAATTCTCAGACTACTCTAAAGTTGAAAAGGCATAACTAGATAATTCTATAAGAAAAAAAAATATATTTCAAAATGCATCATTTGCACAAGTTCAGTCCTATAATATATTTAATTCATTTAATTATTTTTGTTTTGACTTTTCTACCTGAAGGCTAGATCTTAGGGAGGATGTGGGTTTTTTATATAGCACTTTTATCAGTACAATATTTTTCTGATAGTTTGGACTAGTAGATTGTCTAAACTCCAGCTCTATGTAGATGTTCTCTGCCATTGTGCCTATTTCAAGATTTTGAATATGGAAATATTCCTCATGAAATATGGAGGAAATATCAGAACTGAAAGATTACAAGAATTATATTGGTTTGCAGGTAGCCAGTCCACTTCTTGACCTTCAGAAAAGTGCACTTTGGTCATTACTGCTCTATTTAGAATTACTAACAAAAAGCTGGGTTAAGAGTCATAAGGACTTGCAAATTCATAGTATACCTGATTAGTCCTAAAACTAGGTTAGCAGTTGATGAAATTTAAGTTCATAATTTAAGTTGTTGTGTGCTATGTTACAAAAATTTGTGCTATGGAGTATACTCTTTTGCCTCTAGTTCTTCAAATATTTTTCAGCTAAAGGAGTCAATTTTTAATCTCAATACATTAAAACAACAAAACTCTCATTTGTTTCAGTGGAACTAGGCTTTGATAATAACAGTTCATAAGATTAAGTATTTGTACAGATGATGGCCACAAAAATACATACAAACAAAAAATAATATAAGCATTTCAAGTTCTACTGAAGAATATGCCAAAACAGATGATGGCAATAAGATTTTTGTTCCTAAGTTTTCACAAACATTGATCAGAGATAGGAAAGATTTTGTCAATGTAATTTTGTCAATGTACTATGAAACCAACATACAGGAAAAAAAAATCAGGGAGATATGGTGAGATTTCAAATGCAGACCATCAACTTCCTTCAGAATAGATTTCATACTGCTAAAAAGAAAGAATTGGAAATCATCAGGTGGAAAGTGGAACAGAAAACCAAAGGAAAACTGATGAGCTGTACACAGCAAGGTCACAAGATTCATTTAAAATCTAAACACTTATTGTACTGTTTCCATTCACATGGGTATAATAGCCAGTATAATATTCAGAAGATTTTATACTCTGGGATTCCATTGGAAGTATGCTGACCTAAATGTCAGGTCTGAAACAAGACTAATGAAATAGTTGATAGGTTGACTGCAGATTATAAGTTTGTATTCTGCATGTTCTAGATGTGACTAGATAGAGACTTGTTTACTGCTCCTCTTCATAATTATTCAAATAAAAATCAAACATTTAGAAAGACAGAAAATGACAATTTTCCTCAGTGATCAAACCATTCATAAAACTTCTAGGTTGTTTTTTTTTTTCCTGACTCACAGAATACTTGTATTATGCATATTTTTCTCATCAGAAACTCCATAAGGAAAAAAAAAATAAATAAATAAAAGAAGCTAGCAGAAATGCGTGTGAGAAAAATGGAGCAAGTGAAAGTTAAACTTCTGACCTGTGTTGGCATTCAACTAGATATGTAATTGATGTTCTGTAGATTCAGTTTTATTCCTATAATAAACAGTACTACACAGCAAAACAGAAAGCTAGAGTTTGTTGTGACATTCCTGAAAATATTTTATTACTGATAGATTAATGAATTGTTAATAGGGCAATAAGTGATCCTTTCTATCCTTTCTAGATATAGGCCTGGACTGCACAAATTGACCTGTTTAAATGTCTTATTAGTCTGTAGTAATCTTCAATGGTAAGAAAACTGGTGAGCATGCACTTGAAGAGGCAGTTTCTGCAGTCAAGAATTAAGTCACTGAGGGCTCCTGAATAGTTTGAAAAAAAAAGAGAACGGGAGTACTAAATTGACCAAAAGGTCATCAACTTTCTTTACAGCTATAGCAAATGTTCATTTATTTAAAGTCCCATTATTCATCTTCTCTATCCAAGTGTCTCTTTTACATGCAAAACTGAGTTTCATTGAAGTTTTTTGAAGAAATTGACTTCATTGGGACAGGGCTCCAATTTTCACCAGTTTTCCATTTTCTACTTTCTTTATGCATCACCTTTCAACTCCTTGGGCTGCCAGGGTCAATAGTTACAGTAAATTATGTGGTTGCTGGGCTGAGAAGCCAGAGATTCTAGGCTCACTGCCATAAAATCAGGATCCCAGTTTTTTTCATTCCAAGTACAGCTGCATGAGACTCCACTGGACCGGGTGATCTGGAAAGCCTTGGGGGAGCCAAGAGTTTCTGGGCAGCAGGGCTCAGACAGTTCAGTGGGAGCTAGAAGTTTAGAAACCTTTTGTAAAAATCAGAGATGGACTGATTTTAGATATTTCAAGTTTCATTTCTTTATGAACATTCCTTTTAAAATTGATTCAAATTATTTCTCAATTTCTCATGCATGTTATAGGACACTAGGAGCATACTTATATTTTCTTATAGAAGTTTTCTGAGTTCAGAAAACTGCATTCAAAAGAAAATTCAACAGAAGAAGATGAAGAAGAAGACAAAGACAAAGAAGAAGAAGAAAAGAAAAAGAGGAAAAAAAGAAGATAAAAAAGAAAAAGAGAAGATAAAAAAGAAAAAGAAAAAGAGGAAAAAGCAAAAAGAAGATGAAAGAGAAAGAGAGAGAGAGAGGAAAAGGAAAAGGAAAAGGAAAAGGAAAAGGAAAAGGAAAAGGAAAAGGAAAAGGAAAAGGAAAAGGAAAAGAAAAAGAAAAAGAAAAAGAAAAAGAAAAAGAAAAAGAAAAAGAAAAAGAAAAAGAAAAAGAAAAAGAAAAAGAAAAAGAAAAAGAAAAAGAAAAGAAAAAGAAAAGCACTTGTCTTTTTAACTGATTCTTCGCTAGACAGGAGAGTTAATTTCTTCTGTGATGCTGGAAAAGGAGAAACTGAATCTGTCAGTCATTAAAATGGAAAACATATAGCACTGTGGCTGTCTGGAGATGAAATTGGATTTCTCTGTCTGGGTTCTTCTGATTCCTTTTCATTCCACAAAGCAAATTGCTTTGCCATAGTTTTGTATTAAGCGGGGAAGGATTCAGCTGGCACAGGTAGTACTAAAAGCTTATTAGGAGCCATACACAGTATTCTCTACTGAACAATATGAATTGGAAGATGAGCTCTAGTAAAAGGCAGAATTCATTTTCCAAATCTTTTATGCAAGTTTAGCTTTGCTCATTTACAACTCCTTGATTTTCTCTGCTGCAGGGTGCTTCCCTCTGCTCCATTATTTTTTTTCTTCAGCACAATACTTTTAACACTTTACTGACAGCTGCTATATTTTTATTGGAGACAAAAAAAGGTGGTAAGTGCAAATGGCTGCATTTATGATAGAGTTTAGTAAAAGATCTTTAATCAAAAAAGAAAAATAGCCTTACAGTCATTTGATCTAATAGTCTCATGAACTATTTCAAGCTCAGCAAGTGTCTTGGAGTTCATTTATCGTAGAACATTTATCTCATAACCTAAAACTCTCTCTAGCATTATACATAACTGCACTACGATTTTATATGTTCAAAAATAACTATGGATACACCAGTCGTAAGGAATACTAATATGCACTAATTCAAAATGCAAGATAATGTTTTCAATAAGATTCTTTACCAGGTAGAAATATAATCATTTTCTCTTGGATTCTTTTTCTATAAAATGATCGGTTTCTGGTTTTGTATTAAAAAGTCTACCATAGTGTTACTCTTTATTAGCTCTGTGGTCCAACTGGGCCAACTTTGAGCATATTCATTTCAGCAGGAGACAATGAAGTATTTTATTGCTTACTAATTCAAGAGCTCCAAATGTTTCCTACAGTTCATCTACATCAAAAAAAGGTAAAAGACATGAATACTAGACAAAAATGTGGGCCACTGATACCATTAATATCAGTGTGAATTTGTACAGATAGATACCATCTTTATCGAGAAAAGAAAGGAATAAGAAACAACAACATAGCAAGCATATCAAACATTTAGAAAACATTTGGCAATATAATATATTGGATGTCTGTCCTCACGCGCTCATTGTTGACCATCTCTGTAGTGTTTGAAAATATCCAGCATCAGATATTACGCATTCCAAGACCATCTTCTAATAAACCTGTTGATATTTATCTTAGAATAAGAATATCATAAAGTTATTACCAGTAAACTTCGAAATGTAAACATAAGTATTTTTGTAACCCACTCTCCCGACCTTTGAATCTTATATTCTTTTCACAACTGAGGTTCTATCTTACAAATTGTATTAATCAAAAAAGGAAGAAATGTACTTAGAACTTTCTTTTTTGAAGAAAAAAATATTTTTTGAGGAATTATTTGGTGAAATTATTGTTTTTATTCATTATTTTCTGTATTATAAAACTTATAAAACTCACTGAATTTTAAAAAGATAGATAGTTTTCCTGTGAGTTACTTCTATTTTGAATATTTGCATAATACCAGATGCTCCAAAAATTAAAAACCAAATAGCATTGGGTAAAATATCAATCATGATAATAGCTAAAATACTGAAGATCCAGAATTGATACCCAAGAATATCTTATTTCACTCTATTACATTAAATTATTTTTATTTGAAAGCAAGGCATAGAATTTAGATATCAGATCTTCACATATGGATATGAATTTTATGTCTGAATCTTTCTGTTTTGCAGTTATTGTTTTTACAAAACATGTCATTTTGAGCAGTACTAAAACTGATGATCACTATAATTTATAATAATTTATTATCTGTAAATTGCAGAACAGATGTTTTCAGCCACACAAACTCTTAACTCAGACAAAAATAATACTAAGTTAAAATATATATGATTTTTAATATTCTTATAACCTAATAAATTTTGGAATAATTTCCCTTGTCATTAACATCTCATTCTGAAACACTAAGGCAATTCTGAAACACTAAGGCATGCATTTGGGTGGCCACTCCTTGCCCATTTTTATTATAAAACTTTGGGAAAAATTTTTTAAATATTATAAATTTATTTTTTTAAATACAATAATTGTCAAATGGGTTCACCTGAGTGAAAACAAGTTGTATAGACTTACCTGCACCATCCTCTTGCCTGTGGGGTTTTAGCTGGGGAGCTCCACTCTTTTCTTACTACCTGAAAAACATACCTCAGTGGCCAGATAGCATTTGCCAGTCATGTATTTTCCATTAAGATATTTGAGTAACACATACCCAGTTTTCTGATTTATGCATATTTAGAAACAAGCAAATAGAGACATTAAACTTTCTAAGGAAAATGCTAGATTTTTCTTTATGTATGGAAGTAGAAGCATGTAACCGTCTCTCTTAATCATTCAATATGTCATTTCTTTCCTATACCAAAATATATATTTCAATAGCCCTTCATAGGTTATCTAGGTGATCATTATAAAAAAAAATTGTTTTGATTTTTTTCTGAATGATTATTGGTATTAAATTCTTCAAATATATAAGAAAGTGCAATTCATCAAACAATAGTAATTTGATAGAGGAGAAAGATGTAGGGAGAAACTGCTGCTTAGGGACTACTTTCAGTATTGAGATTATTGAGAAATAGGCATAATTGATCTTTATGTATAGATATTCTTTCCACTTCTTTTGTCTTCCCTCTCCTTTTCCTTCTGAATGCTTTTTCACTCGTCTCTTGTGTTAATTCATCTCTATTTTACTTAGGAGAGTTTGGGTCTTTTAGGAGAGCAGAAACAAGAGACTGCTTGTTTCTGTTTTATTAGAGATCTATCCTGAGATCTCTCTCACTGCTCTGGATAAATATTTCTTTATTAAGCACATATATTTTCACTTATTTTTCAAGGTGAATATAAATATGATACATCCTCTGACAGGTGGATATTAATTTCTGCCAATTAATACGTTTATTTGCAGACAGACGTGATTAATTTTACTATTTGGATATTAGTAAAAACATATTTTCTTTGTAACTACGGGTGAATTTTCATACTTGAAAAACTGAGCCAAGAGTCTTTTCAAACGGATAAAAGCTTATGCCTTCTTTGTTCATATTAAATAGTGAGAGGGAAGCATCTCAAATATGTGACCTTTCTTGATTGTCCTGGGGCTAAAATTCAGTATTATAGGTTTAGTTCATAGTATTGATTTCAAAGGTTTTAAAGAAGGTACAGGCACAACAGATGGTTCATTGAAAGCTTATTTAATTGAAATTAAATGTTACTATTGGTATGACCACTGGGCCTGAAGATAAGAATCTAATCAGTCTAAGCCTCACAGTAACTTGACCATATCTATAATTCAAGGAACTTTAGATAGTAATTGATATTTTTCCCTGAAGACTCCTAAACTTATTTTTTATACCTTTTATTTAAGAATATTGATATATTCTTAAAACACCTTGCATTCTAGATCATGACTGTATATATTTCAGTATAAACTTCGCCTTATCTTTCAATAGACCTGTCTTTCTGCTTTTTGTTGAAGACTAAAACAAGGCAAAATCCTTAAAAGTTTTATATGAAATTATAAACATAAATGTTAATATAAACATATTTAGTGTATTTATATCAGATATACTTTGACTCACACTTTGGCATATCTTTTAGCAACCTATTCTCTGGAAACACTGAAAGGAAGAATATAGCAAAGATGAATACTTGAATACAATAACATAGAAAATGGTTTAAGCTGAATTAATGGAGCCTTTTATACACATTCGCATTTTCAGGACAAAGGATTTCTGTGGCAGATTTAGCAGCTATTCTAGAGGTGCTTCATATCTCCCAGGGCCCTACTGAGTTACAGTTTCCAGAACTTTGATTACCAAGGACATGGAAAAATCTTCCCTGCAGTATTTTTTTCATTTTATTTAAATCCTTCCACCCTTTTCTCTATGTTTGTAAGAATCCTTTGTCTCTTTATCTATGCTAAATGCTATTATAAAGAAATAAATAAACAAAATTTGGTAAGCTTCCTTAGCATTTTGATCTCGTCCTATCATTCAACCATTCAACAGAGATTCTTTTTTTTTTTTTTTTTTTTAAATGGATCTTAGATAAAGCTTGTTGATGTCAATGGAAAGATTCCAGGTCACTTTAGTTAAGTACATACACTGCTCATATTTACTTTGCTCTTTCTGAGGCATTGAGTAGTTTAAATCTTGCAAGGAAATTTACTCTCACAAGATTCCAGGCATTTAGTTTAGGTGTTTGGACTAGCTCTGGACAAGCATCTACAATCCTTCTCAGATTTCTTTGTTTATCATCTGTCTTTTTTAATGCTTGACTTATTTTTCAATCTTCAGAGATTTTCTGCTCTAAAAGTGACAAAAAAATACACAAGCTTCTAGCTTTTTTTTTTTTCTTTTTTAGAGATTATAAATATGTCTTAAGTAATATAGATGGATATTGAGTTCTTTGTGGGACTTGAATTTAATAACCAAGAAATTGTAATATGAAATAACATTTTCTGTTGATGCAAACATCCATTTCTTTGCATTTGCAGTATTATATAATTGCAGTATTGCATGAGGTCCTAAAAATCTGTTTGTTACAGCTTGTTGAAATATGTGTTACAAATATATGGCAACTATCTGAGCCTGAGCTTATGTTAGCTCACCAAGTCAGTCATTGAGGACAATAATATCAATTTTGTTTATATGTGTTAACATCCTTAATAACTAATTTTACTACAAGAAGATAAAACATACAAGTATATAATTGCTAATTGATTGTATATTGTTAATAAAGGAAGCCTAAAATGAATGTTTTATTCTACCACCTTTACATTGAAAGTTTTTATAGAAGTGCAATTTATTTATTTACTGTTATATGCCATTAACCATGCAATTGTGCAGAGTAACTAATAGGATTTTAAAGCACAAATGTATATAATTTCTAGTCTATCAGTTTTTTAATACAATCATACTTATTCTGGGAAAATTAGGTTAGTAGTGAACACACTATGAATATAGGCATGTTAAAAAACATGCCTAGTCATCTTCAAATATACAATAAGCTGTTGCAGAAAAGAAAATAACTGCCTGGATAAATGCTGGATAAAACAAGCAATGGGCATGCAATTGCAGCAAGGAAGATTTAATTCAGGCAGAAAGAAAATGTAGCTATGGGGAGAGAGAGAGTTATAGCATAATAAATTGTCTATGACAACTGTGGAGTCTCCCTCATTGCAGGACTTTAAGAATAAGTTAGACATATATCTGTCAAAAAGGACGTAAGCTGATCCTGCTGGAGGGAGCAGGAGAACGGTCTAAATGACCCCCCTGAGGTGCCTTGCAGCTCCATGACACTCTGATAGCATCACTAACACAATTTGGATCTGTTGACTTTTTAAGATAAACAGTAATGCCAAAACAAAGTTATCAAAAACGTCTAAAGAAAAGCTCCCTAGGAAATAGTGATAATCCTAGTCAATGGAAAACATGAGGTAAAGGGTGTTTCCTTATTAAATGAAATTCTTGCATATCATTGGAAGTGTCAGAATGTGACATACGTTTTTCAAACTGTGGAAAGTACTATGTGTAGTAGACATTATATATGTCCTTCGATGAAAATCATTAAAGGAAATTAATGTTAATTAGTCTTAACTAGTGTTACTCTGGTTTGATGCTGAAGTGCACATTATTTTCACATGTGTTACTTCATGGATTCAGCTATTAGATGAATATAAGAGACAATAATTTTTTTTGACTATGTAAGTATTTAACAATTTGTGACAGTCTCAAAACAGAAGGAAAAGTTATAGATTTTTTTCCCTTTGATGAATCTTCTAAACTTTTCGTAGGTGGTATTTCCTTTCATTTTTTAGCGCATACCTAATGTCTTACTGATTACAGGATGATTTTTGAAAACATGGGTTTTTTTTTTTACTTTTAAGAAAAATCTCTTAAGTTCTTTTCAAAGTGAGAAAATATATATAATTTTTATAATTTTAAGTATAATTAAATAGGTATAATGCAGAACATTTACACAAGATACAAGTGTTGGAATATTTTCTTTGGGAAATTTTGGAAATTTTGGAAAGTTTTGTTCCCTTCCTATGGCCTATGATATAGCTCTATCATTCATTTGTATCATTCTCTTATTTCTACATTTTTTTGTCAATGACAATCTTATCCTGAAAATGGATGAAAAGTGACGGAGTCTCTTCTGCTGTTACCCTCTTCTTCCTTTACTGTTGCTGCTATCATAAACAGGACCAACTCTGTTTTATTTTTTTTTCCTATACTTCACTAGGAAAGTTTGTTTCTAGACTTTATCTGACCTAATGTGGGACTGTAAGAAAAATATGTTTTTTTTATTATTTTTTATATTACTACTCACTACTATAATTTACAACTCCACCACCTTTTGCTATACACAGTTTTTACTATAAATCTAGGTTTTCTTCAAGCTTATTGATTGAAATATTTTAAGACTGAACTGAGAAATGCTCCCAGAAAGACACACTAGAAATGTCTCTGGTTGATACTTCCTAATGAAATATCAGAGCTTTCAGCAACATTTTGAGCATCTGATCCAGTTTTATTTTCTTTAGTCCTTGTTTTTCTATTTTAACCTAATTACCAACTTGCGCTAAATAAAATATCTTAGAGAAGCTGAAGTGCATTGATAAAACAGCGTTATCTTTATCAGCTCGACTTGCCATCTTACTGAGAATGGCATTCCTAAAAAAAAATACTCCTTTTTTCTGTAGTTTACAAGATTCTCTAACAATTTCAGCTGGAGCAAGACTGTTTACACTATCACTGCAAAGCAACAAGGAATCAACCGCACATCACTGGAGCAGGCGGCACCACATAGACGTGCTTAGCTGCCACTTCCGACTGACTTTCCACTGCTGGGGGCATCCCATGGATGAAGCCAACCAGCATGGAAATAATTAAATGTGAATATACGTGAGGACCCATGAGAAAGCTAGAAACATGCCATTAGCATAGCTTGAAAAGCACCTGAGGTCATAGAAAGACTGATGGTCAAGGTAAAAGGTCGACGGACCATTAATTTGCAGCAATACAATCTTAATGTGCAATGTACCTTTATACCATCTGGACGCTCATTGTCCAAGCTTGCTGAACCACCACAATCTAAATAAAGCTAAATATTTTATTTCCTTGCAGAGTTCAAG